GCTAAAGTGGAAGTCAATTCGAGCAGATGGTACGTCAGCGTCGAATGTCATACCAACTTTGAACTTCTGAAGATACCGCCCGGGCGGCAAAGATGAAAGGTAAAAAGTTGGCAGGCCGCGCAGGGATTCAGGGGTAGATCTCGGTGCTCGGTTGCTGGGTGGGCATGCTGACCCAAACAAGGGATTTGGAGAACTGGAGTTGAACAATAATAAATACAACCAGCGGCGACTTGGAGAGATATTATTATTAGTATTACCTGGCGACAACCTCTACCATTGAACGGTATTCCATTCCATTTGGGGGAAAAGGTAGCGTACAATACGAGCTGACACTATCGTAGACTATTTGGACACTCTGTGTCTCCCTCGTCCGAGACACACAGCCATCATACCTGGAAACGGGCAACGGGCAACGGGCAACGGGCTTACAACGTTACCGTTAAATGATTCGTATTATCCCTCCTCCATCACAATCTTGAAGACAGCACAGCCTCAGCGACAACACATGACACATGACACATGACGGGGAGAGCGACGAACAAAAAGACTATCCAAATTGTTGATTCGAGAGGCGCATCTCCCGCCTGTTATGACCTCGGGAGTTGATGAATTCCAAGGTTGAGACTTCCAGTCAATCGGTTCGAACTTGGTGCTTGGAAGTTGAATCAGGGCGGAAACCGTAACCGGTAATCGCTGTAGTTGACTTCTTCTAGGCATTATTCCGGTATTACAGTGGGTACGTACCTCCTTACCCCCTCCACTAGGTACAGCTTTCCAGCGCCTCCAGGGCTGTCGATCAATCATCAAATCAGCACCTGGACAGCCCCCCTTCTCTCTGCCAACTTGTGGTATCCTCGAGTGGATTCCAACATATCGGGGAACTCCATTCACTCACTCATTCCCCTATTGAAAAATTCAATCATTGATACATCGTACTAAAGTTGCAACTGTCTATTTGTTTGCGCTAGGCACTGCGTAGCCGTCTAGGCAGTTGACGGTGTTATGATTTATCGACCGACAAACACCACTGACCGAATTATACGATATTATCCACCCTCACCCACCCTAACCAACTTCCAATACGAATCGAAGACCAGAAATACAACCGTACACGGCGCGGCGTGCGACACTACGGCATTATTAGCGAGATCTTGTTTGTACCTTTGCTTGCCTGCTTGCTGCTGCTTGCCTCGCGCTATCTCTTTCTTTTCTCTCTTTGTTCCATTAATCCTAGGTTCCTAGGTTGTTCCAAGGTACCTATTCCACAACATTGAGGAGCCTCGACCCGCCAATCCAAAGATCGGCCGGCTCTTGACCGGGGCTTTCCTTGGTCTGGGTGCTGGGTCTTTCTCTGTCCGTCGCGGTCGCCCTTCTTTTTATTATTATTTTACCTTGTCTTGTCCCTCGTAGTGGCTTCTGGATCTGAAACCATGAACCGCCGCTACTCCTTTGATTCCGATCCTGGCGAAAGCGCACCCCTCGACCACTCAAACCATACCGACCATCCCTACCTAGCTCAGGAACAGGAACCGAGACAAGAACAGGAACAGGGACAAGAACAGGGACACCAACTGGAACAACACCAACGCCATCATCATTCCAGACATCCCAACCCCCCTTCCTCCCTTCCCTTCACTTCTCCGCCCTATCACGACTTCCCATCCGCTTCCGCACCCAATACCAACAACACCTCCCGTCGCTCCCCAGAACGCCCAGACCGCCCGATAATATCACCACACCATCCTGGTGCTCATCCCGAATCCGTCTTCAATCGCCTTCGCCAGAGTAGGAGATACAGCGGGGGCGCTGAAGGAGAAAGAAATAGAACCGCCGTTGGTGCAGGTGTAGGTGCAAGTGTAGGTGCAGGTACTGCTTCGGTGGCGGCCGCTGGACCTTGGGCCGGCGAACTTTACGACACTGCGAACACCTACTCTGGGCCCGTCCCTCCACCGCATCGCCAGCCTGCCCGACCGAACTGGGGGAACGCAGGACACGCTAGTACCATCACCCCCGGGGCTGACAATTTCAGCGAATCCGCTGCCGGTGGCATACCGGGACTCGCTCTCACTGTAGCTGAACGGAACGCTCGCGAGAGCGGACTAGAAGCCATGTCGGGCGGCCAACCTTGGCAACCCCCTTACCCTCAGGCCTCCCAACGGTCGCAGCAATCTCAAGGAACGCCCTACGACGATCCTCATGCGTACGGCTACGATCGCAGCTACGACACGTCGCCAGGCTTTGGTCCCAGCGGCCCCAGCCCCTATGACTATCACGGATACAGCTCTTCGGGGAACCTGGCTGCGCTGGGCGCCCCCGCCATACCGCTGTCAGGGCGAGGCACCCCGACGAGAAGTGTGCACAGTTACTCCAGCGACCCCTTTCGAGATCCTGCAGCGGCATATGCCGCACGGGGGGTGGATCCCCGTCTCGGTCAATTTAATCCTAACGATATAGATGACGATGGCGACGACGGGCTTGACTATCGGCGCTCTGCTCGGAATAGCATGCTGAGTATCGGCGGCTCTAGTAATCGAGGTGCCGCCGCGGGTGCTGCGGGCGCTGCGGGTGCCGCGGGTGCTGCTGGAGGAGCTGGTGTCATGGGCGGGTTAATGGGAAGAAATCGTAACAGCGGAGTCAACTATGATCCCGTCCAGACTACTGCGGCGGGGGCTCGAGGTGTCGGTGAAAAGCTCCCGCAAAAAAGGAACAGCCGGAAGTGGAGGTTATTCATAATAGCAGCTGTTGCTCTGCTCATCATTGGCGGTATCGCGGGAGGTGTGGTCGGTGGCATCATGTCCAACAATGCCAAGGATGGTGGTAGTGGAGGCAGCGGCCAATCTGCATCCCAGGATTCCGCAAAAAACGGGGATCTCGACGCCGACTCGGACGAGATCAAGGCTTTGATGAACAATCCGGATCTTCACAAGGTGTTCCCCGGAGTCGACTACACAGCAGTCAACGTTCAGTATCCCGATTGCTTAGAAAGCCCTCCGTCGCAGAACAACATCACCCGCGACGTGGCCGTCCTGTCGCAGCTGACAAACACGATACGGCTATACGGTACTGACTGCAACCAGACCGAGATGGTCATCCATTCACTGAATCAGCTAAAGCTCCAGGACACCATCAAGATCTGGCTAGGTGTGTGGCAGGACTCGAATGATACCACGAACCAGCGTCAGATCGATCAGATGTGGACTATCCTGAAAGACCAGGGGACAAAGCCGTTCAAAGGTCTGATTGTGGGCAACGAGGTCCTGTTCCGCGAAGACAAGACCCAGTTGGAGCTCAACAGCATACTGACAGATATACGTGACACTCTGGCGAGTAACTCGAGCTGGGAAAGTTTACCAGTCGCGACTAGTGATCTAGGCGATAACTGGACTGCCGACATGGCCGATATTAGCGACTACATCATGGGCAACATCCACCCGTTCTTCGCCGGCGTCAACGCCAAGGAGGCTGCCGAGTGGACGTGGACATTCTGGCATAATAAGGCCGGTACCTTTTTCAAGTCGGACACGTACAAGAACGTCATCTCGGAGATCGGCTGGCCCACAAAAGGCGGGACGGATTGCGGCACAGACACGGTAACAGACTGTCCGGACGGTTCGGTAGCCGGCATCGACGAGCTGAACACGTTGATGGAAGATTGGGTATGCGATGCCTTGTCGAATGGGACCAACTACTTCTGGTTCGAGATGTTCGACGAGCCCTGGAAGATTCGATTCAATGAGGAGGGTAAGGAGTGGGAAGATCAATGGGGACTTATGGACGTCAATCGGAATCTTAAGGACGGTGTCAAGATTCCCGATTGCGGAGGCAGCACCGTCGACGGGATGACTCTGTAATGACAGCCGTCTCGACACATATCTGCCCATGAGTATGTTCTTGCGCCAGCGGCCGACGATTATGGGAACAAGAATGAGCACGAAGTCGGAATAGATCCGTCTGTTTGTCCGAGCCAGTTGTATGAATTTCCACGCGATACACGATCAGGCGTCAACCGCATATACATATATCCGTTTTTTTGCGAGGTGTTTTGTTGTCTAGAGGGTTTCCGGCTTTATTGGGGGGAAGAGGGATCAACTGTATCATATACCATGTTCGCAGAGAGGAAGAGAGAGGATCGTGAGAGAAATGGGCAAGGAAATAAGAAAGAAAGACAGAAAGAAGCATTAGAAATATCTCAAAAAGGGGAGAGAAAGAGAGAGAGAAGACACGATAGAAATAAAGAAGACATTCGCATATAAATGGTGTATATGGGACGAAGAGAGAGAATTAACCTGGAAGCCCGTCCGTCTTGACCTGGAGTTGACGATGTGGGCCGGATTATCCAGCGGGCGCGTCATCCGGCTACGCGTCCTCAATGGAGGCATTTATCCTTTATGGGCTGGTTAGAGACACAGCAGCCCCGGGGGAGATGAGAGAGAGATAATGAGAAGAAGAACAGATGTCGTTCGATCAGTCAGTGTGGATTGATTGTACCCAATTGAGAATTTGAGGTGTCATCACCAATGGCCTGGAATCATCATTAATCACTATCACACAGAGTGAGTGCGTCGACCCCGACTCGGCTGGTTTGTGCGTGCTATCTATCTATGCCTGTATGCTCAAGTATGCTGGTTCCAATATAACTAAATAAATGCTAAAGAAAGGAAAGATTAAGTACTTAAGTAGTTAATATATGGATGGCTTTTGCTTGTCTGTTTTTTTGGACGAATTCTCGCGGGGGAGGGAGGGGTGGATGGGTGAGGTTTGTCGAGGGATGGGGGCTTTTTGGCGATGGAATCATCCATGCCATGGCCTTCTTTAATGCCCCTACTCTACGCGGCACATTTTAGCAAAGCAAGTTCCAGGTTCGCCGCCCGGCTCCCCGTCACCCTCACCGTCGCTCGACCCTCCCACCCGAAGTTAAAAAAAAACTCACCCAACCGAACCCAGCCCAACAACCACCATCAATCATTCATTGCAAATAGCAAAAAAGCAAATACGGATTCTGGTCCCACTCGGGCTCGAACCGAAGACCTTCGCATGGACTTGATATAGAAGATGTTACTCTTTTATATTAGTACGACGCTCTAACCAACTGAGCTATGGGACCCTGTTGTTGTTGAAAAATTCTGGCGTTATCCGAAGTAAAATCAAATCTGCGTTGCGGGTCTGTGTGGACCGGACGGGTGCCCCATCGCCGTTGGTCCCGTGGGTTACGACGCGTCGACTACCTTGCTTGCTGGTGGACCAACTGGTCGTATTCCAAAGTGCTCGTATTCTCAAGTCCACGGAGCGAGCGCCATGGAGAGAGAAAGATATTATCCCATGGAGTTCCACGGATCTCCATGGGGCCATGGATCGCCGTGGACTTTATGGGAGTCGAATATATAGACTATATATCTGTCAGTCAATACGCGCGTGGCGCTTTGAGATGCTGTTGCTGCTTCAGAACTCTATCTGTTCAAGTTGAATAAAGACCTTCTTGTCGCAGCCGACGAACGGGATACGATTTATTTAGTTTCAACGCCTTGAGAGAAAATCTCATTGAAATATATCTAGGTTACTGTATCTGTCCGAAATCTCGATACTCTTCTCAGCCGATCCCGGACCCCTTTCTCTCACACACACTCAAACCATTTAGAAAAAGAAAGAAAAAATGGCATCTTCTCTAGCCCCCTACGCCGAGCAGCACAAGAAAGAATACCTCGCCGGCCCGGGCGACAGCCGTCCCACCGCGGCCCAGATCATCCAGGACCAGGGCCTGGTGGACAGTCCCGAGTGGCGCGGCCGCGTCGTCCTCGTCACCGGCATCTCGCCGGGCGGCCTGGGCCCCGACACGGCCAGGGCCTTGCACCTGACGGGCGCCGACGTGTACATGACGGCGCGGGACGTCGGCAAGGCGCAGGAGATCGCGGGGGATATCCTGAAAGACGGGAAGCCCGGGAAGGCCGAGGTCCTACCGATGGATCTGGGGTCGCTGAAGAGCGTGAGGGAGGCCGCGGGGGAGTTCCTGCGGAGGAGTGCGGGGAGGTTGAATGTTTTGGTGCTTAATGCCGGTGAGTGATGAAGTAGGGAAGGAGGTAGGTTGGAAGATGGTGTTTGGGGTTGGGGTTGAAGTTGTCTCGGGCGGGAAAGAGGTTGATTGTGAAACTGACTGAACTGAACTGACTGTCATCTAATCAATCTATAGGCGTCATGTCCTGTCCCGAAGGCAAGACCGAAGACGGATTCGAGACTCAGTTTGGTGTGAACCATCTAGGTAAGTTAGGTAGCCAGCGACCCCATCCTCCTCCTCCCTTCATCCTCGCTCTTCCCCCACCCCTAACAACTCCCCCTTTTCCCCAGGCCACTTCCTCCTCTTCCACCTCCTCAAGTCCGCCCTCCTAGCCAGCGCGACCCCTTCCTTCAACTCGCGCGTCGTCACGCTGGCCTCGGGCGCGCACCGCAACGGCGTCATCAACTTCTCCGACCTGTTCTTCGCGGACCCGACCAACCCGTACACGCCCATCGTCGCGTACCGGCAGTCCAAGCTGGCCAACGTGCACTTCGCCAACGAGGCGGACCGGCGGTTCCGGGACCGCCGCCTGCGCGCCCTCAGCGTCCACCCGGGCGGCATCTGGACGCCGCTGACGCGCCACCTGCCCGCCGGCTACGAGCTCCCCGCCGGTCTTGCCCGGGCCATGAAGAACCCCGCGCAGGGCGCGGCCACGACGGTCTGGGGCGCCGTGGCGAGGGAGCTCGAGGGCGTCGGCGGCGTGTATCTGGACGAGGTGCAGATAGCGGAGAGGACGCCGGCGGGCGCGGAGTATTATGAGGGCGGGTGGGATGATAGGGCGTTTGATGAGGTGGGCGAGCGGAGGCTTTGGGAGGTTAGTTTGGAGTTGGTTGGGCTAGGTGGGGAGGAGGGGGAAGGAGTGGAGGAATGAATGAATGAGTCGATAAGTGAAGGAGAGGATAGCAAAGTTCAGGGGTAAGTTAGGAATTAGGTACTTTACTTGAGATTTTGAGTTGGGACTTGAGCGGTTATCTTGCAGATCATGACATGTGATGATGATGCTGGTGAATGTTCCTCCTGTCGTGCAAGGGGCAAAGGGGGAAATGTAGAATTGAGCGAGGAGCTCCTGGGTGTGAGATGGCTTTTTATCTCTTGTCAATGTTCATATTCCTATCACGTCAAGTATCAGTCAAACACTTTGCTTTCTTCACCAGGAGATGAGCAGCAGTAGGGTCTTGTCATGGACAGGGATCACCATGTAAAGTAAAAAAAAAGAGCCATAGTTGCTACTCTGGTAGTCCAGCCAGCTTCATCGAGAAGCCGGTTTATTCTTATTATTTTCTTCCTTTCTTTTGTTTTTTTTCCTTACTTACCTCGATATACCTTATTCCCGTCACTCCTCGTCATCAGACAGCGAAGTCTGGAGATAACGCAGCGCCGCCGACTCCTCGGCCCGGATGGCGCTATGCGTGGACTCGAGCTGGCTCGAGAGCCGGGCTAGCGTCTGCTCCATCGTCTCGACGCGGACGGGGACCACGATGGTCTGCTTCACGGGCGTCTGGCCCCATTTCTCCTCTGTCTTTGCGTCGTGATTATGACGGTAGGGGTTCATGGACGAGAACTCGATGTAAGAGGCCGGGCTCGACATTCCAGAACCCCCTGTGACGACTTCCTCTTCATCCTCATCGGATAAGTTCGCCTCTGTCTCCTCCTCTTCGTCTACCACGAGGAAAGGCGACTCGTCGTCGCTGCCGTAGTTGGAGCCCAGATCGTCGTCATCGTGATACTCGACCTTATTGATCTTCTTCTCATTGTTGTTATTTTCCGAGGTCAGCTTGTTCAGGAAGGCCGAGAGTTTTAGCTGTAGCTCGCTCTTCTCCGGACCGCTGGCGTGCGTGGGGGGTGTGGGAGATACGGCGCGGGTCGGGATCTGGATGGAGAGCTGGGGCGTCTGGGGTCTCATTTTTATGTCGGTGAAGGGGCACTTTCTTTATTTTTTGTTGAAATAGGTGTGGTGTCGAGGTGGGATTTCGTTCGTCCTGAGCAGACCTTGCAGCAACCGAAACTGGTGTCTTCCAGAGACCTTCTGTGTAGAAATGGATAGGACAAATATGTGTTGCGACGAAAAACCTACCTGTTTCGTCGACCTACCTATCTGTCGGGTAATTGGGAAATGTAAAATCTACTGCTGCTGCTCTTGCTACTGGGCTGGGTCGAAGGGAAAGCAGCTTGGCAGTGGATCGGGGAGGGTATTTGTACGCGAGGCACCGGATCTGGGGAACAATACTATTGATGTCTTATGAGTGCTTTGTCGGGAACAGCCAGAAATTGCTAAAGGGCCTCGCGTTGAAATCTGTAGAAGGACAATGAGTGACAGCGGAACGGTCCAGATGATGGTGGTCTTTGGGGGGCGGCACAAAGAGCTTTCGATGCATCTACGTCAGTCGGAATAAAGAGTGTAAACTGTGACAGGTACCTAGGTAGTGAATTGCAGTCTATTTTTGGTAATAGCTGGTTTGCATTAACTCTGTAACGTGGTATCATCAGAGATATGGTATCTTGAGTGACTTGGTAGCGACATTGCGGCTCTGCATGCCCGGGCTTGGACTGCTGTCATACAAGGTTGCCGACCCCAGCTGGACACATCATAGAATATATTATGCTGGATTACTGCTGGTATGTGGCTAAGAAATTGCATTGTCAAAACGGAGTGCTCAAACAGAAGAGGATATGAGATACGTTTTCACTCCGTCGGTCTGTCGACACATCGCTGTCTTTCTTACGTAGTCTACACAATACCCCGTCAGCCAGTCTATCTCCTTTTCATTATCCGCTCCATATCAACCACGGAGGGTCAAAGTTTCTCCCACTCGCCAACTGCCTGCTCAACTTCGATGTAATCCACCAGTCGCTTCAGAGCCTGAAGCATCTTGGGCTGCCTGAACAATACCTCAAGTTCCTCTCCGCCGAGGGTGTCGATTTGCGCCTGAATAGATTCCATCTTCCCCTCGGCCGTTTCGCCATTCTCTTTGATATACCTCTCCACTTCCACCCCAGCGGCTCTTGCGGCTGCTTCCTCAATCTCCCTGGACACCTTTCGGGTGATCATCGATGAGAGCTCCCCCTTTTCCAGGGCCACTCTCTTCTCTATAAGCTGACTGACTTCGTCGATGGTACCGGAACGAATGGCGCGCACGATGGTATCTTCGAATGATGAGAGCTTCTGGTCAAGGAGCGCTTCCACCTCGGCGAGTAACTCGGCCTTGATATCATCTCCAGCGGAAGCATCGGAGGCTGCGGCCGTGTCGTGATCTTCTTCACAAGCGGATGGCTCTTTCTCGGTCACTTCAAGGCCATCCAGCATGATTCCATCTGCGGTAGTATCGCTTTCGGACCCAGAATGTGTTTCGTTTCCGGGATTTTCAACACCTTCTGAGTCCGGGCTCGGTCTGCCATCATTGCGTTTCCCTTGAGGGGTTGTTCGGAACAGACCTTGCCCAACAACGCGCCGTGAAAATGGTGAAAGTTTCAGTGGCTCCTGAAAGTCTGAAGCCTCGTGCTTCGTTATTACCCTGATCATGATCTCGAAGGCTGGATGGTTTAGTATATGGTACATCGCATCCGGTGGGGTGGTGTATATGCGGTACTTGGTAGGCTATCCTTGAAGGTCAGCCGACAGGGGAGGATAGGGAAGAGACAAGTGGGATGCGTTTCAGAATATATGGTTGTGTGAGCTTGTAAGCTGCAGTCACCGTTTTCTCACCGAAGCGTGGACGTATTCATAGTGACGGATTCGGGGTCAGTATGAATCGCGACGACTCATTCACCACTCATTGCCACTGTTTTGATTAGCCACGGGGTCATACCTATGACCACCTGTAACACCTCGATGATGCGCCAGAGGTGAATACTGAGAATTCAATGTAGGAGTAAACCACCGTTCAGTGAATCGGCTGACAAGTTTATTTTGGGCCATTTCCCTTCGATGCTGACTGGGGCATATCATCTGTATCACCCGGGCATTCTTGGTCGTACAGTGTGCGGCAATACCCTAGAAGTTGAATTAAATCTTTTCCAGTACATCCGGTTCGAAGTTCAAGCGGTCATGGCTGTCC